ATAAAACATATCGTTTGGTAGATGATCTCGTCTGCTTCTGGATTGGTAGATGTCATCGTTTTAGTGTTTAGGTGCCAGGCCCGTCTTATCGTGGCCTCCCCTTACTCCACTATCCCACTCTCTGGGTTTGGTATCAGTTTTATTTGCGGAATAGTGTTTAGGTGCCGAGTTCGTCTGACCGTAACTCCCCCTAACTCCACTATCCTGCTAGTTTGGTAGATGTCATCTTTGTGGGGTTTAGGTGCCAGGCCCGTCTTATCGTGACCTCCCCTTACTCCACTATCCCACTCTGTAGGTTTGGTGTCTGTTTTTGGTGGAATAGTGTTTAGATGCCAAGTCCGTCTGATCGTGACTCCCCCTTACTCCACTATCCTGCCAGTTTGGTATAAATCCCCTATGTAGTTTAGTGTTTAGATGCCGGGCCCGTCTAACCGTGACCCCCTCTTACTTCACTCCTATCGTTGTCATTTATTTTTTGTTTTATTACCTGGCGGGTTATATATATTGATTTTACTTAGAGACTGATTATTCCCGATGACAATGTTGATTCCCAATAATTCTACTTTGTTTGACTTACTATTAATCTGTTGAAAGGGAAGTAGTCTTTGGCATAAATGGCAAGCCCCCCCCCCCTTTCCTTTTACCCGGTGGATCATATCTCGACATGTCTGATATCAATGTTTTTTGGAGTTAGCCTTGTCTCTTGTATTCACAGTATATCTGGGTTGTTTTCATAGACATATTGTTTGATTTCTATCAAATGAGACCGCAGCCCATTCGCGCTGAATTGAGAGATTGTGATTTGTTATTTTAAGGTATTGGCTTGTTTACAATACCTCTTCCCATTTACCTACACTGCACTTACGCTTATCGTGGTTGATTATCTCTTGTCCAGTGATCATGGGATTAACTCTTTGCCTGAGTCAGTTGTCTTCTTCATTGACAACCGCAACTATTGTTCTCTTTGCCTTTGACCATGGTCGGCTCTGTTGTTCGCTTTTGTTATTGGGAGGTGGCATATTTGATGTAGCATCTGACTCTGGGACCTTCTCTGTATTTGATACATAGGTACATTCTTATCGTACGGTTCAGAGATATGGGGATTTCACGAAGCTGGGGAGGTCGAAATAATTTATACTAATTACCTCAAAAGAATTCTATGGACACGTAATTCTGCTACTACTTGTATGTCAAACAGTGATTGTTGGGACAACGAACTACCATGACCCTTTTCAAACCATTCGTCACCATTAAACCCACAGTTTCAAATATGTTGCCTGTACAAATTCGGTCCTGTCATTAAGAAATGTGATAAAGAACAAATGCATCACTTACAGCATCATATGACAACCCTGTCGCAAAGAAATACAGTGTAGTGTTCTCATTTCGTCAATTGTAAGTAGATTATAAAACCGAAAGCTACACGAATCTCTGGATTGTACCCGCAGCCACATTTTGCGGAACGCAGCAAACATTAAACATTTAAGTCGACTTCTCTCTGATAACAGCCTGCAAGAGATAAGTAAAATTATTGCACGATTCTATATAACCTCATGCTGGGCTAACCCTATTGATTAATTGTCCTAAGATTATCCTAACCAATTATCCTTGGAAAGGTTTCACTGAAATATAAACCCGGAAAGTCTCAACTTAAGGATAAGAACTGTTATCCCAATTCAATTGTAATAACCGTCTCATCTTAAACGCGGGAGTCGGTCAATGTAAATAAGATAAAGAGATTGTGTGATCTGACCAATTCGTCTAAAAACCAATCTAGTATCATGTATGGACCCAGCAGTCAAGCCATTTATCTGTACCCATCAGGCGGTAATATATTTAAAACCGTTCACATCATGAACTAAAGTTCGATCTGCCTCAGTTCTATCCCACGATTGCTTTTCTTATTACGGACTAGGTCTATTTTGTAGCCTGTCTACAAAGTAAAAAGACGAGATTCAAATCTTGATATTTTATATAAGAAATTCAAATCACAAAACATAATTTGATTTTTTTTATATGCCCACATTTTTATGTGGACGTCAATTCCCGTCACCCCTGTGCATTTGTTTGTTCACGGGTCACAGTTTTTATTCGATTTTGACGAAACGTGGAATATAGGTTATGTCCAACAGAGCTGCGTTCCTATTGGCATGTATCAGACCGTAACTTCATAGATTATGGATCCTGATTGTATGAAAAGTCACGTTCTTAGCTTGTGAACGCTCTAGATGTCCCAAGTTTTATCCGATTTTGATGAAACTAGAAATGTACCTGTATAACCTGCAGATCCCGTTTCGTTTCGATATTCACGCATAATACCAAGGGTGTAGGCCCTCTAGAGGTTGCAATTTTTATCCGATTTTGATAAAACTTAGAATATAACCCAACGATCCCGGTTCCTGTCGATATTCGTGCACCGTAACCTCCTGTATTATGACCCCTGGTTGTGGACCCTCTAGAAGTCACAATGTCATCCGATGAAATTTAAAATGTATGTTTATATCCAAAAGATATCGACTCCTTTTGACATTGATGCATGCCGGGCCTTAACATCCTGGATAACGGCCCCTTATTAATTTGTTCTCTCTCCATCTTTTGCAAAATGTGACCCTCAAAGATCAGAACTGTGTTGCGGTCGCGGCGGAAGATTGACCTAACATTACCACCTATCCTGGGTGCGACGTAGTTTTCCAACTTAACATTAAAAGAAAAAGTAATTGTGAGATGTGGGGATGGAACGTGTAGATAAATTACTCTTCAATCTGAGTTTAATATATCTTATACTGGGCATCCAAGTCTCCGTAATAACAAGCTGAGGAATAAATGATTTAATGATGTACATTGTAAGGCCAGCATTAGATTGGTAGTGTTGACAATCAATTGAGATACATTATTGATGAATCAATCACAAACAAGCTTGTCTAACGTGTTGAGAAATGACCACAGGGATGTTTTGTATTACCACACATGGGAAATGATTCCATGATTTAGATTAATAACGACGATTGCCGCCTTGGTTCGCGCAGATAACAGATTGGAATCCAGATTGATCTCTCTGTTCTCTTTTCGTTTAGTTTGGTTTTAGTTGAAAGACCCGGATAAAAAAGTCAGGTGGTTAGGCATGCAACCCCACTTCGAGCCACGCGCTAGACCCTAGGATTCCCCACCCCACAATTTTCATATTCCAAGTGTTCATATATCGGAAATGTGAACTTTGTATTTTGTAATATCTAATGAAAACAAAACCACAATAATGAATCAAATCAACAATCATTGTGATACTTATACTACTGTAAAATTTATTTTGGGAAATTTCCATTCCAATTCTAGCACTTTGATTTACATTTTCACTTGCCAGATATATTATTATTACACTTCTCGGTGTATTTGAGTAATTTTGGGAACCGCGGTGGTTCAAAGAGTATTAAACTGGTTCGCTAATCTGGCGGTCTCGGGTGCGCTACCGGTGATGGCCCAGGAAGTTCCTTGAAATTTCCCAGTGCGGTTTCCCTTTCCCAGTGGTGCAGGACTGACGACCTGGATCAACTGTGTCTAGTCCTTCGGATGGTACGTAAAACCCCATCCGTGTGATTAATTTGATATCACAGCATTCAATAAATACACAACAGTAGGTGAATTTGTTTTCATTGTATCCTAGAAGACAATTCAATAGATCATTCGGTGACCATCAGTAACGTGTTTCTCATCATGTCAGCTAGAGGTGTAATAACTACTTCAAACTGACCAATCATATATTAACAATGATCAACCACACGACTCTGTTTTTCCCAGCTTCAGACAAATTATCCATGGTACGTGATCATTAATTGACTGTTTAACTATTTCCAGTCGCCCAATAAGATCATTATTTGTGGTTTGCTTGTCGTCTCTTATATCTGGTATTGATCTCGAGAGAAAATTGCCGATTTGTTTTCGTGGGATAAATAATGATGTAAATATATTTAAGACTTTTGTGATGTGTGATACATCGATCGAAATTATAGAGCATCACATAGAATCAACCATTTAGAGTTACACTTCGAGATCAAGAAAGCATAGGATAAAGCACGAGTAGGATACCGCACGAGACTGAGGTTATGCTGGGGAAAGAAAGAAAGACTTTCTTTCCTAGCATAACCGCAGTCGAGTACTTTATCTTGCTTACAAACCCTCCATGTTTACGTGAAATGAGAATATACCAAAATTCCTGTAAGAAAAACTTTATATGATGTTTACTTATCGAAAATAAAAACCCACCCTAGAAGAATAACCCGTTACAGGTTTCAAGAAAAACTTTCAGAAGAATAACCGCAAATTCTCCTGTATATATTCAAAGCCGCCCCGACTTTCAGACCGCAAGTTATTCCGAGCACAGAATATACCCCAAAGTTCAAATAGATTTATCGTTCTAGGTTTATAAGCTAGGGCTAAATCTGCCTATTGCAGGTCTTTCTTCGGGCGTGAAATGTATATAAACTGTTAATTAGACATTTATTAACAAAACAAGACCATAATCAACCCTCGATTTCACCGGATACCCGAGATTTCAACTAAATTAGAACGGTACGCCATTTAAAAATTTAATTTAAAAATGGTAAAGCGAGGCTAAGTCTCGAACATAGCAGCGCCCTTCGTACCACAATGCACTCATCTTGATAACTAACTAACAGTGAAGTAATTTGAATGAAATTTTCTATATATTCATTTTACATTATCTATATTTGAGCTAGTATAGCAAGAATGGCCAGCTCTTTATCTAAATCTTACATAATTTATCTTTAATTGAACGGTGTTAGAAACTGATATATATAAGACATTGGCAATCTGAATTGAAGACATATTTGTAGTATTTCAGTTCGTGTTCAAAGTGTTTGTATTTTGTTACGTCTGTGCTACCTATACTTAAGCAACGGTCTTATTAAAGACTGATCGTGCATGGAAAAACGAAATGTCGACAAGTAATAGTGGAGTATACGAACTTCGGATTGTATAATTCAATGTCACACAGTTTGCACTGTAATGTGTTTAATTTTTTGGGTTTGGACACGAACTGAGGGAGGTATATCGTTTGTTTGAACTCCACGCAAACTATTACGGAAAGTGTGCATATCCTGAACATGGTTGAGCGATTTTGATGTCGAAATTAATTGAATACGGTGAAAAAGAAGAAATAGTGCTGTAAAGATAAGGCCACATATTATTGGTCCCAAGAACATAGACAATAACACAGTTACTAGACGAATTTGTCTAAGCCGGTATGAGATATCCGAGTCATTTGCATTTGATGATACTTCGGGCAATGTCGGTGTTGGAGAACTAGGTGGTAGGCCAGGAATGAAAACTGTAAAACAATCTTCATCAATTCGACCGTCGCCATCGTTATCAGACCCATCGTCGACTTCCTCATCTACACGGCCATCACAATCATTATCGTCACCATCGTCGTTCAAATTGTGGGATATGGTACATGCTGAGTAAAGCTGGGCCAAGTTCATGCCAGCGGGATGAGCATAAGTAATCCCGTTGTTATTAATGCCAAATGCTGAGACACCGAACTGAACCTCGGGGTTTGTATTGCTTATAGTATGTATATCTTCTTTGACTAAAATATGTGTGGCAGAAACACCAGACTGTTGCACAGGAGTCCAATTAGATACCAAAGGTTGAAAGTCTAAGATGAAGGTATTTGTGAAATTGGTATTTGCGATGATGAAAATGTAATGAAAGTATTCAGGAATCTTAGGGGTTTGCCACTTGTAGAATCTTAGCCACTGTTCTACAGGGGGAACTACCAACATGGAGGAAGGGGGTGGCGACACCGTGCTGTTATCTACAAAAACAAAAATTCTCAAACTTAACTAAAGTAATAGCATCCTAGCTGACATAACATTGATTCGAGTCCTTTTCATTTATTCATGGTTTTTGATAAGCTTTTAGTAAATTTAAATAGTACATAATTGATTTCCATTAATATATGTAAAACGAGATCCAAGTTGAATTTATTTTTATTTTAAATAAAAGCCTTCTTGTATTTCTGATTGATCTTACCTTGCAATACTTGTGATGAATAATATAGAACTAACAGAACCGGGTGTGACGTGCTTATATAAACAGGTGTTTGCAATGTTTTGGTTACAAAATCACCAACTTTTTGAATAGTTATATTCTCAGTTATATCACCTTCAATAACTATCTCAGTATTCGGTGATCCACCTAAAATTTACAAATATATAAATAAAAGAGAAGCGAGTGTTCACCTTCAATAATGACCATAGTATTCAGTGATCCATATAAATATAAAACAGTAATGACAATTACCTTTGCCACTACAGCTGGCAAATACGTCCACAATTTTACCCCCCCCCCCCCGCTTCATTAACTATTTCTATTGAAGTAACATTGTTGATAATCCATTTAATAAAGGCACAGATTATACACAGTTGATGATGAAGCACCAATGCGTCTTTTGTCAAAATTAACCCAAATGGCAAGACAACAAAGGGTCAGCTATATGAACCTACTAACAAATGTTCTCTTTTGTCGTAGATATAACGTCACAGTGTAGCCAAATGTTAAACGATATAACGCAAGGGATGTAACCATGTCTGTTGCGGATGTACGGTGGGCTGTAACAAAGTTGGTTCCTAGTGCAGGCAACTGACGAGTTTTTTGTTTCAACGTTTGTACTGAACACTCGATCTGATTAAAACACAGATCCAATTTCGTTTCGTTTTTATAGTTCAAAATTTCGATTTTACTTGTCTTTACTACACTTGGATCTGGAAGCGTTGTTATTTAACTCGAGTTCTGCTTGAAATGAGGGGTCAGCCAATCAAATGGTCTGTTGAATCGAGCGTTTGACCTTTTTTGAGCGGAACTGTGGGCAGACATTAGCGGCAATAGAAATCAAAACAAAGCAAAAGTAGATAAAAAAAATACATGGCGGTCGCTAATTGGTTAATCGAATGACTGACGTAATCGGATCAAATGTCGCCTCCTTGGTACCTGATGTCATAGAACGTGAACTCCTACTATAACTTGTTAGATCTACATGTAGTGTGGGTCATCGAAAGTATAAAAAACGAAACGAAATATAGATCTATATTTTATTTAGATTGACTGAACACTATAACATATTTTAAAACTCACCTATGGCTCTGTATGAAGTCGTTATATTAGGAAGAGGAATGCAAACAAATTTCTTGCCCCAAGTTTCCTTTGGCGGAATCATCTCAACTGTGAAAAAAGCTTCCTCTCTTTGTAAAGTTGGTGACGCCCTGATTCTCGTATCTGTGTTGGGATGTGGTGCCCCAGTACCGGATATAACAGCAATTGGATGGGAAGAAATTATGTAAGTCCCTGTAAGATCATCTTTACTCTGAAGTTGAATTGTCTCGTATTTATTCAACGACATATAAATCAGCTTAGTTTCCGTATAATTTTGGCCATCAAACTCTATTAAAGCCCCAGTTGGTACAACTAATAAAATAACAGTTTGATTTTCTGTCCCTGTCATACCTGAAAGTAAAGTGTTAATACAGTGTTTGTCGTTTAAATCTTCATAATTTAAAGAATGTAACGCACTAACCGACTCGTACCTTACATTATTTTGCGTTTGTTTGAATTTACATAGCTGACAAATTGCTGTAGAACAATTTGTGCTTAGGCGCAGGGATGGATCAGGGCCGTAACTAGCTCATAGCAACGAGGGAGGCGGGAAGTGCTCTCAGGGGTGCTGTAAAATTGACGGTTCACGGACGATGTATATCTATTTTGTTTTTTAAGCCCCCCCCCCTTAGTTACGGGCCTGGGATGGACACATAATGTTGGTGGAAAGGCGGCCCAGTCTTTCCGAGCAACTGCGATGCCTGAGAATATATGGATGTTTATTTGTGCATTTTCCGAGAAGCATTGGTCACATTCTTATAGTGCTTAGGAATTCTTGCAAGATTATACAGATTTAACTAAGATGCTAGTATGATCAGTGTTAATCCTCCGGGCACACGTAACTGTCGCCAATAGATAGCAGAGGGATCATGACCACTCCCCACCCTTGCATCCGGGACCGGCAAGTGTAATTGTTTGATGGATTCATAGGATTGGACACGCGTGTTCTACAATCTAATATTTAAAGGGTTACTGCCATTTTTTTTAATGCTACTGACAACACCATGACATTATATCTTTAACTATCCCAGTATTTTGTCTTTTTATAACCAAGTCTATATTAAGAATACGGGCGTTATGGCGACGACTCATTTAAAACAATCTTATAAGAAAAATATAAAAAAAACGGTACAAGGGAGGAAACTGTGATATCTCAGAAGAAGATGCTTTACCTATTAGAGAGAAACCATCTCCTGGTGGCCATGATGCTATATTATAATCCATACCAAGACTTTCACGTGGTAATAATAACATTGTTTCAATATTTTTACCATGTCTCCAGACAGATGTTACTGTTATTGGGTAGTCGGATAATACTGCGGCTCCATTGGATCCCATTGTTACTCCCGTCATCAGTACATTTTCTGGTAATGCCATTGTCAAACTTCCATATTTAGGAATTGTACCCTGGTTCTATTAATTACAGAAAGGAATTTAATTTATATAGTATTTGCTAATGAAGAGTAGCTTAATACTGTCCATATATACAATTAGTTATAACGTTTACCCCAATTAGCGCGATAATATATTCAAGTCTGTCGGCACTGTAGTAGCGAAAAGAATATAATGGAATACGAAGGAATGAATGAATGAAATATATGGTGATAATGGAATAGGGGGTTGATAATTCTGTCATTGTGAGATTGTTTAGTTGTGTAAAGCGATAAAAGTTCCGTAATGAGGGCTTTGTGCGTACAGTTCCTTAAAAAAAGTATTTAAGAAAAAAAAAAAAAATACTGGTATTAAGTAATAAACGTGTTGAAATAACCTCTTCAATTGTAGGTTCGAATACTGGAAATGTCATATTTACTAGGACATCGTTTGCAGTTCTTGAAGTCATCAATAATTGTACAGATAGATCCCCACCTTGTTCGCATACAGCAAATACAAACTCGTTCGATTCACTTCTGGCACTATCTGAAAAGGAGTATATCGCATAGATAAGACAGTGTGTACGATTGTTCCACTACATTTCCACCTTGTGAATTAGCAAGTTGGTGGTTTCGTTTTGGGAAAACGGCCAAATGCCAAACATGAGTATTTTCGATGGAGACTGAAGGCTTAGTTCAAATCCCAGTCTGATTAAAATACAGATCTATTTTTCGTTTCGTGTTTTTATACACTGGGAGGTCGCGTCAGAGGTCATACGAGCGGTTTTTGACCCTATGACGTCAGACTTTGATTAATCAATCAGCGTTGATGTTTCAAGGGGTTTACCCACAGTTCCTTTTAAAGCACGCAAGATGTCGCCGTGATATACCGTTTCATTGGCTAATTCCTCACATCAACTAGAACGCCTGTTATATATAACAATTCTACCAGTTCCTAGTGTTGTAAAGACAAATAAAACGAAATTTTGAACTATAAAAAAACGAAACGAAATAGGATCTGAGTTTGAATCAGATTGTTAAAATTCAGAAATTAACACAATGCTGGATTTGATTCTCATATCAATAATCGCTTTTTATACGCCTAAAGTGTGTTGTGGACGCATTTTGCGTCAAGCCTGTACTTCCGTCTATTTTTCAGATTTATTATATGGGGGCGTAGTAATGCCTATCTGTTTTGGTGAAGATCCGATATTCTTTAGAAACGGCACCGAACGTTGAGAACTGTGCTTGACAACATCCTACAGTATTTATGGATTCTTCTCAATTTTAGTGTGAAGGTCAAATCCAATATCAAGAGAGGATCCCTATTGATTTCGACTTCGATTAGTAATTTTCCCACCGAAAGAATCGAAATTGGCTACATTTCTTCGTGGATTCTTTTAAATTTCGACCAAAAAGACTCTTTTCTTTTGGCAATCGGCCGATATAGCAAAACCAACGAATTGTTCATTGAGAGAATGAATACAGCTTTCATACTCTGAAGTGCCGATGTAAATAATAGCTTTTGCCCGGAAAACCAAGTCACACCACCTACGTTTAGTAGTTTTGAACCTGTAAGTGAAGAACATGTTTCTGAGATCATCAAATCGTCAGCTACAAAATCCTGTTCGCTTGATCCGCTACCTACTTGGCTACTTAAAGAATGCCAGACTGAACTAAACCCTATTATTCACCACCTAGTAAACTCAGCTATAAACGAATCAAACTTTCCGTTAATTTTTAAGGCTGCTAACATTACTCCAATTATAAAAAAGCCTAACCTAAACCCTAACGATCTAAAGTCATTTAGACCTGTCTCTAATCTAAGTTTTGTTTCGAAAATAATAGAAAAGTGTATAGCTAAGCAAATAACTGCACATGTTGGTGATAATAATCTGTTAGAGTCATTTCAGAGCGCCTACAGGAGGTACCGTAGTACAGAAACTGCTTTACTTCGGGTATATAATGACATCATGCTCTCCATCGACTCTCAGAAATGTGTTATCCTTATACTGTTGGACTTGTCGGCAGCGTTTGACACTGTGGATCATAGCATTCTCTTGAAACGCCTGTCTTCACGTTTTGGTATTGTAGATAGTGCTCTTGAACTGCTTAGGTCTTACTTAACAGGGCGTCAGCAGTGTATCACGGTCAATGGCTGCTCGTCCAATGTAACTACTCTTGAGTATGGAGTTCCGCAAGGGTCAGTTTTAGGACCCATAAGGTTTAGTTTGTACACTTCCCCTTTGGGCGATCTAGTAAGGAAACATGGTCTTGAATTCCATCTCTACGCTGACGACACACAGTTATACTTATCATTTAAACCGTCAACTGGTGCAGCTATTACCAAGGCCCAGGTCGAATTATGCATAGGAGAAATTCATACATGGATGTCCACTAACTTTCTGAAACTGAACGCTGACAAAACCGAGTATTTGCTTTTGGGATCCGATAGTCTGCTATCAAAACTTAATGATTCGTTCAATAAGGAAATTAGAATAGCTGAATATAATGTGTCTCCTTCTCTTTCTGCGCGCAATATAGGTGTCGTATTTGATTTTAAGATGTCCATGGAACAACAAGTTAATAATATTTGTAAATCATGTTATTTCCACATCAGAAACATCAGTCGTATTCGTAAAAATATTTCGGCGGAAGCTACAAAGATTTTAATTCATTCTATGGTCACTTCTAGACTTGATAACTGTAATTCTCTTTTAATTGGCCTCCCCAACAGATTGATAGATAAACTCCAAAAGGTGCAGAATAGTGCTGCCAGACTCATAAGTAGAACCAATTTTAATGACCACATTACTCCTGTTTTATACCATTTACACTGGCTCCCTGTTCGTTTTAGAATCCGTTTTAAAATACTTTTATTAACTTATAAATGTCTTAATCACATGGCACCTTCTTATTTGTGCAACCTATTAGAATTATATTCTCCGAGTCGTACTTTGCCGTCATCCTCTGGTAATCTCTTAATTAAAAGACCTGTTCGACTTGTGAGCTATGGTGAACGATCTTTGCCTTCCAGGGTCCTTACTTATGGAACAGTTTACCCCTAAGTGTTCGTAATTCACCGTCCTTGTCTACATTTAAAACACGTCTCAAAACGCATCTTTTTAATGAAGCATTTCAATAATTTCATTGTATTTACACCAAACGATGTTACAATATAAATTATAGCTGTGATAGTTTTTTTTTTAGTTTTTTATCTTTCCTGTGTTTTACTAATTATCTTACTTTTATTTTAATATTCTTTTATATTCTTTACACATGTCCACATGATGATGTTTTAAGAATTTTAAATGTATGTGTCTTTCCTATTGCATTTTGTACCTTACCTGTATATCCTTCTTGTATTTATGTTGGGGTTTTTTTCTACTTTCATATTTGCTTTTATATCTATATTGTAAAGCGCACTGGAGCACAGTATTGTGGAAGTCGCGCTATATAAATCCATAATAATAATAATAATAAATTGATTAATTTTACCTATACTATAATTCATATGACATTACAATTCGTTCAACAAAGTTTTATTAACGTAATGCATACCGATCAGAAAAGCAATTAGTAGAAGCGTATGTCATCTGAATAGTTTATTTTGCTGATTTCGTAGTCAAAATTCAAGCTTTATTTACCGCGTGTCTAAATTAATTGCATCCACTGCAGAATAATAATAATTTCATACCAGTTTAAAATGGGGAATATAAAGCAATAATGTTAATTGTATGAAATAACGATATCGTTACAGTGTGTTTCCACTAACGAGGGATTCATTTAGATTGCTTTGAAATATAAACAAATAAACTTCCCTTTAGCATCTTATATGTTTTAATCAAATATCAGTATTTATAAAGCTACCTAGACAAAAACCAATATTTGACTGACATTCAGTGATGCAGTAGAATCTGATGATCCTAACTATAAGGTCAACTGTCACATTGGTTTGATATCGCCGGACATGTTGACA